AGTGTCATCCATTCTTAGATTCCTTTGAGTTTATAGTGACACTTTGGTAGGTGGGAAGCATAATTTGATGACATTTATTCAAATTTAAAAGGAATAAATTTGATTTTTCCTATGGAGTTGGTCACAATGGCACACAAAAATACAAGTACCTGGATGTTAATCACAGCACATCTGACATAGTGAACATAAAGGGAAACAACAGGACTGATCTAGAAGTTATGATACATTCTCAAGATGAAACACTATGTACTAGGTCATCAGGAAAGTCATGACGTGTTTTTCTATGCAAAAATGCGTCATGACTTTCCTGATGACCCAATATTTGTTTAAAAAGATGAGGTAGATATTCAAGTGCTGATCTACACAGATGCCTATACTCTACTGTAAAGCGAAAAAAATGCAACTTATAGAACAAGGGTTAGAGAATGATCTCATTTTTCTTTTTCTCCGTCCACTAAGAAGAATTTTTGGCTCCCCAATCTTTTCTTTTTTTTATTTCTTTCAACTTTTGCCAGAAGTTGATCACACTGCAATCCCTTCTCCTCCACTTCTCCTTACTTTTATGATCTTGGGCATGCACACATGGCCAGCATGTTTTTCAAGCTGCTGGATTCGGGATTCGAACTGCATAGTACCTTAGGCCATGTGGAATCTAGTCACCTTAACCACCAGGCCACAAACTGACTCTTCTTCCTCCTTTTCTTCTGCTCATCCCCACTCCTCACTTGCACCTCATTGGGCATGTTTAACAGATTGGGGGACCGAGTTTTTCCCTAACAAAGACAAGAAGACAGATGAAAGAAAAGGAGGAGAAAATGGAAGAGCCCATTGAACTGCCTTGAGAGGAAAAGTGTTGAGGGAAAAGGTGTGAGAGCAGCTGGGAACAGAGAGTAAAGTCAATGGGCATTGGGGACCTTAAGGAAACACTGGAATTATTACAATCAGAACCCTTGTTTATGTTTTTTGAGAGGTCTTGGCAAATATTGGGATTAGTCGATTACTTTCAATTCTCTCTCTGATATCATGCTAAGATTGAGTCATCTGGGACTTGAGCCACAGGTCTTCGAAATATCATGGAAATGCTCATTATGGAAAACACTTTTTTTTTTTGGCATCCATATAAGCTCACACTTCAATTCCATTTCTTTGTGAACTTTCTGAAGTCCCTTCATATTCACGCTGACTGTTCAATAGAGTCTTCAGGAAAGAAACTTCTAGCCACAGTTATCTTTAGGAGTGAGGGTGATTTTTACCTGTCTTTTTGAAAATGTCCTTTCCTGGAAGTATATACTTTAGTACAACAAAAGTTATGTTACAGGTCATGTGTGAATGTACTAAAAGTCTCCTTTAAAGCATTAAAAAGCCTCTATATCTCCTTACCATTCACTGGTTCTGAAAAATAAACTTTAATTAGTAGTTGACATAGTATAAAACTTAAAAATAATTTGTATTCAGTTTCATTTTTTGTATTTCTCTCTTTGCAAATTCATAGCATACATTAGTGATATTATCAGCCCTGTAGCCTTTCATGGGCTAGTCTGGGTCACTCACTACGATCTGCAACACCATCTTTTCAAGGATAACACACTCCAGGTTCTAAACTACCACAGGGCAAGCTAAGTTGTGGAACTAACTCATCTTATGGTTAAGATTTGACTGAAGTAAACTTTAAAAGTAAATTTTTATTTAATTTTACTTTTTTTTTCCAACCATCTGCTGGCTCCTAGCATGAACTTTTTAATAAAATGTTATGAAATACCTTCATACACTTCATACTGCATAATGTTTATAATGCTCAGGGATAGATGACCTTGCATATGTTACTGTGGACACAGAGATAGTGTCAGAAGACATATTATAAGCTAACACTAAAGAATGTACATTTTGTTGTAGGTGAATTATTTCCAACTTGCCTTATGAATCGTAACACATATCATATTGAGTTGTATCATAAAAACTGAGTAAAATGTATTGAACAGAAATAAGTGACAGAGTAGCAAGAAGGGACTTGAAGGTGGTGATTTGGATTAAAATGGAATGTGGACATTTTCTGCTCTAAGGTCAGCAGTAAAAATTTGGCCAAGGTCAAGAGTGACAAAATCATCACTAGAGACTTGACCTCAATCTACTCGCTGCGGACAGTGTATTAATATTGTCCAACCGTTACTGCAGATGGCAATCCGCTCACCTCTTGGTAACTCATGCCTAGCTAAGTGTCCGTGTCCTTGGCTAAAGGTGAGTAAAAAGTCCACCTCCAGCATCTGCATGGAGGTCATGCAGGTGGCTGACAGCAGAGTGTGGATTCTCTCCTGCGCACATGAGGGACGAAACCACAGCCGATTTCCATACCCCAACCTCATATTTTAAGGTTATAAAAGGTCTTGCAGGACATCTGGCCCATTTGTGAATGTTCCTTATTTTCACTTTTGCCTAGGCTTTAGCCATTGAGAGAGAGAGAGAGAGAGAGAGAGAGAGAGAGAGAGAGAGAGAGAGAGAAACAAAATAGCAGCCACCGCTTCTGCTGACAGCAGAGTGTGGATTCTCTCCTGCGCACATGAGGGACGAAACCACAGCCGATTTCCATACCCCAACCTCATATTTTAAGGTTATAAAAGGTCTTGCAGGACATCTGGCCCATTTGTGAATGTTCCTTATTTTCACTTTTGCCTAGGCTTTAGCCATTGAGAGAGAGAGAGAGAGAGAGAGAGAGAGAGAGAGAGAGAGAGAGAGAGAAACAGAATAGCAGCCACTGCTCCCTTTTCTCTTAACTTTCTTACTCTACAACCACTTTGAAAGCCAGAGGCTCACATCAGACTCATTTGAAGTGGATCAATGCAGATTGGATTTCCTCAAATACAGAATACTACAAAGCAACTGCTTCACATGGTCCAGGGAAGAGAAACTGAGGGAGGCTTGGCAATTTGTCATCCAGTGTGAGATTAGAGGACATACACATTTAGAGAGATTGTGCCCTGCCCAACACTAGGGAAATATAACCAAGTGTTTCCCAAGCATTATAGAGTCTATTCTGATGGACTTGGACTCACTAACAATAAAGGCCTCTTGGACACAAATTTAAGCCAGTCATGTTATGAATTTCTTAGTAATTAGTGCTTTGGTTTAGTCTTGGTAAGTGCAGAGAAAAGATTAAAAAACATACGTAAAACAAGTACCCTTGAGGGTGTGTGGCTTTGTTTATGGAAGTGGTGGATTGATTTAAGTCTCTGCGCTCCAGAGTGATCTGAGCAGGGCAGGCTGGATGTCAAAAGGAAGGTGGAGATGGGGCAGGAATAGTCAGTGAAGTGCTAGCCCAGGATGTAGGGCCAGGGCTGCTGAGGGAGCCCTGGGGAAAGCAGGACTTTTTCAGTCTGCATCTCCTGGCTAGAGTCTAAGCACTTACTTAGACTTGCGGTTTCCTGAGTCCAAGCCCTAGGATTTCAGAGAGGTAATACCAATCATCCCAAACTGCCTCTCCTTGCGACACTGAGGCTTTGAGAATGAAGCCTTATCTCTTTCTATTTGATTCATATTTTCTGAGAACCCACAAGATTCATCATACTGAAGAGACATTTCACTGATCATGGGAAAGTCTACAGTCTCAGCCCTTGAGGCATCTCTTATAAGTTTGATTAAGGCTGACTCACAGTCTGGAATCCAAAACTGTTCACCCACAAGGCAGTGGAAGAAACCACCTACAAAGTTCTGCAAACACTCTCAGGGTCACACTGGTGCCTCTGGCTGTCCTATGGACCTCTGCCATCCACCTGGCTGGTGGGGCCTTTGCATCTTCAGGTTGCTCTCTGCCTGCTTTTGGCCCAGGCCTGGCTTCCTGCCTTTGTCAGTTAATATGACAGCTCTGGCTTTGGTTGTATGTTGATCCTGGTAACTTCCCCTTCCACTTGACTCCTAAGGCTCTTCCTCAAGTGGTGACAGGGAGGACCTTGAGCTCTGCCCCCTTTCCCACCCTCTACTTCACTCAGAGCCATTCTTCTGTCTACTGTCCCATGTTGCACAGGTCTAGACCTTGATTCTCTCTCTGCTTCACCCCTTTTGGCTGACACCATTCCTTGGTCTGCAGAGCTAGGGAATTGGGTATCTGCCCAGAATGGTGCTCCTCTTCTCCAGGAACTACCACCCTCTAAAACCCAGGTACTTTCAGGGCACCTTTCCAACAATGACCTTGCTCTGTGCTGGTGACTGGGCTATGCTGACCTCAGATCACAGTGCCTAAGTCTCTGTGCTCTTTCACTTGGACAGATTTCAGTCTTGACTTCTAGATGCATGTTTTCAGTCTATGGCTAATCAGGGCCTCACTTCTACCAGCACCAAACTCTCAGCACTAGATTTTTAACACAGTTCTTCCTCCCAGAACTCCATTGAGCTACAAGAACATAGAGGGGTAAGACACCTAGTGGTCTAGAGGAGCTGAGCCAGTTAAGAAACAACTGATTTCCAATAGTTTCTTCACATGACTCAATGATCCCTTTGAGGAGAATAATCTCCCTGCTCTACTGGGTCATAAGGTGGCTATGAGGACAAGTGAATCAAATGACAGCACTCTGGGAACCATGCCACCTGACAAGTGGAACGAACCACTACTACTGTCAGCCTGACAGAGGGCTCCACACTGCTCGTGCTCACCTGGACCAGCAGAGGCTCATGACACAGGCTCCTAAACTAAGTCTGAGCCACGTGCTCCTCTCTAGTGCCACGCTTGCCTGTCACTGCAAGCACCACATCACAGCCTAATCATGTACTCCACGTTGACACAGCGTCTAATTAGTCTCTGTTGCCTGACACACAGAAGGAACTTTACAAATGATGAATGCATGCACAAGGGAATGAACAAAAGAATGAATAAAGCAATGTTTTACAAGATGACTGAGCAGCAGAGAGAACGCTCACTACAAAATGGTAACCAGAATGACTTCACAATGTAAGCTCTTTGCCCAAAATAAAGACATTGTAAGCTTGAATTCAGCCCTCTCCCAGGGACTCACCTATATGGCTCCATGGTCCGAATACCGTAAAACAACGCCTCCTCCAACAGCCCAAGGTTGATGCAGGCATCCATGGCGCAGTCAAGCACCTTCAGCTGGTAGATGTTGATATCGGGAAGCCGTTCAGAGTTGCTGCTTATGATCGTCTGGCACATGGCCAGAACCTGTTCCCACTCTGTTATTAACCTTAGTTAAGGATTCATTGTCTTCATCAAGAAAAAACAAAAGTAAAATGAGATTCTCTAAAAGGCTGAAGAGCTCCCAGGCACAGGAGGGAAGGAAGCACCCATTATCTTGCACAGATGAGCTCTCTGAAATCACACTTGAGAAACAAAAACACGTTAAGTGGCATCTTAGCAAAGTAAATTCTGTTTACATCAACAAACCGTCTTCTAACCAAGCCTGTGCTTTGGGGGATTAACATTTCCAAAGAACTACCCTTCTTCCTTAAATCTAGTCATGAAGTGAGTGAAGTTGTTTATTAAACCAAACTAAAGATTAAGTTAGTTCAGTTTAAAATCATTTACTCTGTTAGCATCTGTTTAAAAATTGATCTGAAATTGAAGAAGCTTTAGAGAGATTTATTTTTCAAAAGCAGAAGCTCATGTTTGCATCCGTGGTGTACTAGAAGCCACATACACATACAACCCATGGGCACAAACCAGGGAAAGCAATTTGAAGAAATTAATTTCTGCTGGATCTTATACTTACTGTTTTTTGTTTGTTTGTTTTAGTCATAAGGCAAAAGTGACCCAAGTCTATACTTAATCAAATAAAAGTATTCTTATTTTAAACATACATACATACATACACACACACAGATACACACACACAAACAGATACACACACACATACACACAAAAAACATAGCTTATACATATAAATTATAGGGGGAAATGATACTTTTAAAAGGTTGAAGAAGGGGCCAGCAGGTGGCATGGTGGTTAAGGTGCTGGACACTCACATGTCCAACAGCAGTTCAAGTTCAGAAGGACCTGGAGGCTTGAAAATAATGCTGGGTACATGTGCCCAAAATCCCAAGAGGAGAATGGAGGAGTAAAGGATTACAGCATGGTCGACCCTCATTTTTCAAACTCCTAAAGATAATCATGGTTTATTACCTGTTGATGATGATGTGTATAGTATTCTCAGCTAGACTGGACTGAGGTATATATCATGCTGGGTAAAGTCTCTTTACAATCTAAATGTTGTGTAGTGATTGAATGCATAAATACTAATACTACTACTAATAATAAATAAAAAGATAATGATGGAGGGGGTGATATCTTATTTTCCCTATCTCTCTCTCCAACGAGCGTACATGCCCTACAACAAAAAAATAAAAACAGAAGACTCAATATTCACTTCTCAGCTATACTAACTTTTTTTTTGATTGGGTGTATTTATTTGTTTTTATATTTATTTATATTTTAGTTTTTGTTACGGAGCATGCATGCTTGCCAAAGAGAGACAAAAGAGAGAGACAGACAGAAAGTGAGAAATCACCTCTTGGAGAAATGGCCACACTGCAACCCTATTTCCTCCATTCTCCTTTTGGGATTTTGGCTTGCAAGCACATAGGTCCAGCATGTTTTTCAACCTGTCAGATCCAGGACTCACACCACGAACTTGGCCATGTGGTATCCAGCCACCTTAATTACCAGGCCACTGGCCCTACACTGACTTTCTGATTAACCATGTGTCAATGACTTAATCTCTTGGAGCGTCACTGTGACCTCATTTTTTAAATCTAATATTCCCTGTTCTGGTACAGACGCAGCCAGGGGCTGAGGATATGAGGATATGGTACAGAGAGCATGCCCTGAACTCCTCTCCCAAATTACAGTGGATGCAAGGCTGAAGGCAAGAGTGCAGGGCCCTGGGACCTCATGAACATTCTTTGCTATGCTGCTGTGCTGGGCAAGGAGGAGGCCAAGGAGGCTGAGATTAGCCTTTCTCCCGCCACCACCTCCAACTGTATAGCTTTCAATTCATCTGCTTTCTTATGCTGGAACTCTAGCAAGGCAGAAACAGCATAACCTTCAATGGTAGAAAAAGCTGGATTCAGATCTAAGCCAATTCTTTCTGTCATTTGTCAGATTTGAGGTTCTGAGAAAGTCAGAGTGCTTTGAGGTAGGTCAGAAATAAAAATGCCTTATGTCACTATAAGAATGAAAGAAGACACGGTATGTAAAATAATAATAATAAAAAATCTTTGTGAGTTCTCTCATGAGCCAGGCAGTGTTCTGGATGCCAGGAACACAGTGGGAAAACATTTAGTGGCATGTATAAAGTATACGCAATAAAAATATCAGTGCCTCCCTTCCTTTTTGTGTCACGACTTCTGAGGGTAACTAGGCTTAAGGAAATTGGTTTGGTGGACCTAGTTTGTAAATCCCTCCACATCCTCCACTCCTCTCCACTCCCACAGAACAGGGGCACGTGGTCTCTACACACAGTCTGCATGTCTCCCTTGTCCCAACTGAAGCCCTTTTCTTGAGGCCTAACGAGCATCTCTGGCCCTGAACAAATGGTCCACTGTCTACTACTCCTGTATCCTTCCCTTCTGCAAAATCTATCATTTCTAGCATCCATACCCTCAGGGCATTGCTTTGCTAAATATCAATAAACATGCACTTTTAATAAACCAGTCACTCACACGAGTCACTCACACGAGTCACTCACTCACACCAGTCACTCACTCACATCAGTCACTCACTCACACTAGTGGCTTGACTGGTTTTCTATATATACATACATATATATATATAATATATATACACATATATATATTTCTTTTCTTTTAAGTTTACAATAGGGTACATGCATTCACAAGAGAGCATCAGAGAGAGAGACAGAATGACAGAAAGTGAGAAACCACCCTCCAAGGGGGGAATAGCCACACCATAATCCTCTCTCCTCCATTCTCCTTTTGGGTCTCTGGGCATACACACACACACACACCTGGTGTTTTTGTTTTTTTGGGTTTTTTTTAGAGGTTTTTGCTATAGGGTGTAAGCGCTTGCCAGGACAGAAAGACAGGGAGACAGAAAGAGAGAAATAACCCCCCGGGGGGATGGCCACACTGCAATCCCTTCTCCTCCATTCTCCTCTCAGGATCTTGGGCATGCACGCACACGTGCCCGGTTTGAGTTTAAGCCACCGGGGCCAGGACTTGAACTGTGGTCAACAACATGGGAGTCCAGTGACATAGCCATTATGCTAACTGCTGGTCCCAGTGGTTTTGTTTTGTTTTGTTTTGTTTTTTGAGAGATATTTTTACCATAGGGCATGTGTGCTCACTGGACAGAGAAAGACAGAGAGAGAAAAAGCAAGAAACCCCCCCCTCCCCCGGGGCACATGGCCACGTCGCAATCTCTTCTCTTCCATTCTCCTCTCAGGATCTTGGGCACACATGCACACACACCCGGTTTGAGTTTTAAGCCACCAGGTCTGAGACTCAAACCATGGTGGAATACATGGGAGTCCGGTGACATAGCCATTACACCATCTGTTGATCTGCCTGGTGTATTTTTCAAGCCACAGGGTCCAGGACTCAAACTGCATAGTTGGCCACGTGGGATCCAGCCACCCCAACCTCCATGCCATCTGTTTGCCCAAGTGAGGACTAGTATCTTTATAAGGCCTCACGGGCAATATGTATTAATTTTTAGAGGGGCTTCCTGGAGGCATTATATCTTAACACAAAGGATGACTTTCATAGTGAGATTTTTAAGCCTCATGAATCACAGCTGAGCCCCCTTTATAAGCCCTGATAATTTTAAGATGAGTGTTCATCTCCAAGGAGTTGACTGTGGTCTCAGAACAGGTACATTTATTGAAGAAGTGAGTTAGTGATTTTCTTTTGTATTTGTCTGACATGTATGTTTAAAGTTTGCTGAATGTACTCTCCAGAGTCTAAGGGAAACAGTATCTTGGGCAATGTACTGATTTTGTAACAGATTGCTGGGCTAACCTCTGTGGCTTTTCATTCCAGGATTAGATATTTGACGAACTGTCAGGAGGAATGTATGTCTCTTACACAACGCTAGACGTTTCTGTGGCAAGACTCGCACCTTATTTTAACATCATGTTGCCTGACCTCCGCTATTATTTGCCTATTCATTTAGACATATTCCATCTCATTCTAAAGAGGTTTGCGGGGACAAGCCTTAGAAGGCAAAAGCAGATGTGATGTTCTGCAGCCACTCACAGGAATACATCTACTTTATCCCGGAGTGAGCTGGAAGGGACTGCATGCCAATTTCCCTTCACAACATTGGCAACCATCTCCTGGCAAACAAGGCAAAACATTTCCTGTAAAACACCCCAGTGAGCAAAAAAATGGAATAATTTTAACTAAGAGGCTTTTCTCCCCCGAGCGAACGCTGACATATTTGCTCAAAGATTTAGACTCTGGCATTTGTGTGGTGGTTGCTACACGTCACTTTCTTCCAGTGAGGAGTTGAATTCTAGATCTCGGGAGGCTCCGGAGACCATCCCAAGAGAATAGATTACCACTGGACAGAACAGGCACCTTCTTTCTGCCTGTTCAAATGACTACAGGAGGATTAAGGGAAAAGAAAAAGGGGAGCAAAGTATATTCATGTGTGAATTAATCAACTCAGAGTCTTGAGACTCAAAGACCATCAGACCATGGAGCTTTTACTCACCTAATCATATGACTACTGCTTAAAGTCATCCCATGGTTCCCTCCCAACTATAAAGTCTAATCCCCTGTGCATGGCTTTTAAGGCTTTGCCTCGTCCCCCCCCCCCCTTTGTATCTGCACACGTCATTACCTCTTGTGGATCTGCACAAGTCATTCCCTCTGTTGGACTCCCCTTCTCCACTTTGACAGCCTGGCAAGCTCCTGCTAATCCTCCCAGACAGCTCAACTGTTGCCTCCTTCAACCTCCTGAAGTTGATGCTGCTAGAGGCATTTTTTTTTTTTTAAATATCAACATAAATATTTACTCTCATACCTTCACTGTGTGCACGAGTTGTGAGGGTAAGGCTGTGTTTTCTTATTTCTGCCTGGATCATAAAGTAGAGCGAGACCACAAAGCATAGAGCAGTTTTCAGTAAAACCTTGTCTGAGACTGAACTGAAGCTGGGTCAGCCACGGCCCCTCGTTCTGCTGCATGACGCCACACATAACACGCCACTGTTCTGTGAGATGACGATTCTGTGAGCCCATGAACATGGACCTCTTTCTCTCAGAGTTAGCTATTACCCCGGTATCTTCCATTCTGCCTGCACACAAGGTTTCAAGATCCTCCACTGTTCTGCCTTTTTCCTCTCTGTGACTCTTTCAGTTTTTTGTATCCCTCTTAACATGTCTATCCCAAGCTGGATAGAAAATTCCAGATATGGGGACCAGTAGTCAGCGTAATGGCTATGTTGCTGAACTCCCATGTAGCCGACCACAGTTCAAGTCCCGGACCTGGTGGCTTAAACTCATGCTGGGTGCATGTGTGTGTGTGCCCAAGATCCCGAGAGGAGAATGGAGGAGAAGGGATTGCAGAGTGGCCATTCCCCCTGGGGGGGGGGGGGTGGGGATTTCTTACTTTCTGTCTCTCTGTCTCTTTCTGTCTTTCTGGCGAGTGCACGTGCCCTATAGTAAAAACCTCTCAAAAAAAGAGAAAATTCCAGGTATGATCAGACCAATACTATCACTGTTATTTTATATTTCATATTTCTATTAATGCAGCTCAAAATCACAGTCTTTCATCATACTCTTAAACTTTATTAAAAATTTGGCTGTTTATTATAGCCCTAACATTCTTTCATATGTTCTGCTGCTAAGTTTTGCGCATATTTATACATTTGAACTTTCTGACCCAAATAGAAGATTTTTATATAAACTCTTGTCAGATTTCATCTTTTTAAGCTCAGATACCATTCAAACTTTCAGGAATCTTTCGAGCTCTCGATGTTACCACTTCACCTCCGCTATCCTTCCCATCTATACGCCTTTGGAAATCTGATAAACCTGTGCTACTTGCATTAAAGGTACAGATGGGAGGTAGAAGGGACGGAGATGGGAACAGAGCACCCCAGAATGATGGCGATTTAATTAGCATTTCTCCAGTACAGCCGTTCAACCATTTAATGAAATGTTTCGTTTTGCTACACCTACCATAAGCTTCTCAGCAACTTCATATCAAATCCCTTTTTGAAATCTAGATATAAATTTTGACAAAGCAAGCTGCAATTTTGGAGTCTCTGACTCTTAGTGAATCCATACAGCATTCTGGTGACTGACCACAGTTGTCTTTTTTTTTTCTTTTAATAAAGAATGATTTTATTGAGTTTATTATTATTACTGTTTAATTTGATGAGAGAGAGAAAGAGAGAGAGAGAGAGAAAGTGAGAAAGCAAGCTGCCAAGTCTGAGATGCAAATTGCGGTCAGCCATGTGGGAGTCCATTGCCTTAACCGCACCACCTGCCAGCCCCATGTCTTTTCTATTCTTTATGAACTAATTCTAGAGTTTTTACTGAGACTATAACAAAATGACTGGGTTATAAGTTTCACAAATTATGCATTTCACTTTTAAAAATAAGAACATTCACCTATCTTCCTTTGTAATTTTTTTTAAAAGAATTATTTTATTTAACTTTGTTTATTTTATTTTGATCATGGGGCGGGGGAGAGAAAGACAGAGATTGAGAAAGAGAAAGTGAGAAACCAAGCCTCCAGGCCTGGGATTCGAACCACAGTTGGCCATGTGGGAGTCCAGTGCCCTAAACTGCCACACCACCTGTCGGTCCTTTATAATTCTTTAAAAAGCCTTGCCAATAGATTAAAAATTTCTTTTACAGATTTTCCTAGTACCTGGGAATCTGACTGAACTTTTTCAGTCTTTGTTATCTACTGAATTCTTCTTCTCTTTTTTCCTTTTAACCACTTTTATTTATTTATTTTTTAATTTTGGCATATGTGTATATATTATTATATTATATATTAAAAACTAAGTTATTTGAATTTAGAATTTGAAATCATACATTTAATATAAAAATACATATGAAACTGGTAATAAAACAATAAATAAAAATTGGTGGAATTGTATTTTTTTAATGTCTCTTTC